AATCTTGTGAAACCATGTGGTTATTGCAGAGACTACTTGTCAACTCTTGTGAAAAATACCTGTTTACCCCTGCGAAGCAATGACGACAACGGAGAAACAGCAAAAATGCAAAATGTTCCCCCTTTGCCTGAGTCTCTAATCTGCACGAACAATACCATCCATTGCGTAATCAGTGCAATAATCTACCTGACAAATGGGTTATTCACCGCCTAATACTTTATAGAGAGTATTGGGCCCTATTTTCTTCCACTACTCCACAATTTGAAATTTAGACCAAATGTTATCGAGTTTTGAACTAGACCAAAATCGCTATCTCTATGTGTAAGCTGAAATTCTCCCTCTAAAGCAGAGACCTGTAAATTCCTGTTCAACTCTAAAAGGGCCCAATAAACCTCGAAGCAAAAAATAAACTAATTCCAAGGGCCTGTCTCAAAGGGAGTTTCGGCGTGACTAAAAGTATCGCATTTGCTTTTGGCGGAAATGTCTCTTACATGCCCTATGAGTGCTAGGAACCGAAGCTGCGTTTTGCTTCAAGCGAGTGCAATATTCATACAAGGTGGAGGGAAATGTTAGGGTGCCTGCAGAAGCGAAATTTTGAGCTGCCTTTAAGGAAGAATTTACATTGAATTGTGACCGAAATTGGAAGTTTGGCAGTCAAGGGGATAAGTTTCGAATGATGCTCTAGTAAAGCATAGTGAACAGAGGAAGATCTCCTCCAAGGAAAAGCAAGCGGAATGAGCCGAGATTCTGCATTCTGCTATTCTGTGATACCCGTCGATCTTTATATAGGCACAACCTTCGTTAGTTTTATCGACAAAAGCGATCAATTGCCGCTTTGTTTTCGAGGAAGAAAGCTGACCTTGGCTACTCGCTATAGTTTACGCCTTTGGCTGACACGACGACGATAGTGACGCACCCTTCGCATGGTGGCCCTGAATGAGTTCAAGTACGCTGTGGATAATCAGAGCCAACCAGGAAGTAGTGAGTTCGCTTCGAAGAGTACCTCTGTAACATACGCGGATCCTGGGTGACCCGTCGTACTCGCTTTCTAGAGTTCTACTGCATTATTTGTTCCCTGCAGCCAAAGCGTTCAGCTTCTTCATGCATCCCCTGCTCCTGAAGCGTCCTACTTCTCCAATTCGGCGGCACGAGGCCACTCAACTTGGCTGGTTCTGAAACTTTACGTCTTTCACCGTATAGGGCTTACACTGAAACGCAAGCGTGAATGGGCACTGCGTGACAGCTGCGAGTACCGGTTATAATCAAATGAAAACTATTTTCACTGTCTTCAAAGGGATAGAGCAAAATTTCGAGCATGCAGTGAACCTTTGGAGCAGGCCGTACACTTATTTCTATGAGTCATTCGGTTGTATCCTTCACGATGACTTCTGATTTTAACCGTTTTTAAAGGACAAAGGATAAAGTGTCCCCGTTGATCAATCCCTTTTTGGGATGCAACTTTCATTCTACTTCCATTCAGAATCGTAATGAACTATAATGGAATATTCAATGCCTTGCGGGGATACACGATGTACATACTAGTCAGTGTTCTTATCCTCCCAAACGATAATCCAAACATTCGACGATCGGGTGACTCACAGAGCGACAGTGAACAAGTCACATCATGAAAAAATGGGAAGTTTCTTCGCATAACGTACCTTCAGGTCTTTGCCCTCGATAGGGTCCCTACAACAAACACTGCGAAACAATTCTTGAGATATCCAAACACGGGCCCTTTTCCAGCAATCACCTACAGCCCCTCGTTTACATCTGGAGCTCATTCCTCTCCTGGTCTATTACACAGAGAGAGTTCTCTGGGAAGAGCTTGTTTTCGCCTTTTCCATAGTAACATATTTTCACTGACCAAAGAACCACCATACCCCTTGCGGAGCGGCAGTGTAAGGAATTTCCCCTTGTGGACGATGTAATACAATAGGAAGGTCACACTTCCCCGTTCACGCCGTCCCTTTCGCTGTTTTTGGCCAGTCGCAGCTTCAGCACATGGCCTATGAACGTGTAAGACCGCAAGGGTCAGCGAATGGGCGCTATGTTT